TTACGTTTATTCAGTGGGACTAGTTTTTTCTCTGTCCCTGAATGAAAACACAGTTCCCAAGACCGCTGTGGTTACTTTTAAGTAATAATTACTCAGTCACTTTAAATGGTAAGAGATACTTTCCATTCAGTAATTAAAATGTTCAGCCCAGTATGATAGACTTCAGACTTGACTGACAGTTGAAACTTCTCCCTCCCCCGTCTTGGGCCAGGAGCGGATGGGAAGGCTTTGGTCAGCGAAGGGGGCTGCAGTCCTCTCTCTCCTCCTCCTTCTCACCGTCTACTGAAACAGGCTTCTGACTCTCAGGGTTGGCACAGCAAAAGTGAAGAGGCATAAGAGGGAACAGGAGCATTTTTACTGGATCGATACTAGTACCAGTTTCCTGGGTTTGGGAGATGTTCCAGCCAGCTTTCTCCCATGGACGTGTTTTGGGTTCTTTGGAGACTTCCCATCACTCTGGCGGTCTCAGCTGCAGTGTTCCTCATGTGGTCAAATGCATCTCTGCCCTGGATGGTCATTTGCTAGGTCTTCCCTGGTCCTGGGACATTAAACAGCCACCTCCAGCTTCTTTCTGCTAAGGGCCCCCACAGTCTTCCATGTAGCTGTCTTGGACACCAGGGACACTAGCTTCCACTTCTCAGGGCTCAGACCTTAACCCATGGGGTCATCTAAGCCCTCTGAGTTTTCTAGGAAATCCTTCTCATCTGACTTAGGAGTGGTATGTCTCACCCTCTCTCCCTTGGGGACAGGAATGGATTCACATGAACGTTCTTCTCAAAAAACAAAAACAAAGCAAACAAATGAAAAACTCTTTAGAATTGCTCTTTTACATGATCCAATGTACTTATCAATACCTGTACAGAGTCAACTTTACTGTATCCAAATAAATAAAATCAACCAAAGTATCAAGAATGTAGACTATGACAAATGAATTTAACTTAATACAAATATATGACATAACCTCACTGAAGAGGGAAGAGAGAAAAGGAACTGACCTATGATGTAACTTTGGAAAACAGCTTTATGACTAAATGCTGTGAACTAAAGACAAAAATAACTGTACATAGGCACCATGCTCTAGTAGGTAAGTTTGTTTCTCACAGGGGTACTAGTTAGCATTCTGACAGTACATACTAGGGTTGATTATAAGAGGACCTAGGATCAGTGACATCCCAGTAGCAATGAGCATACCCAGTACCCAGATATTGGTTTCTAAATACCATTTTCCAAGGGCTCCTTGGAGAAATGACTGATTTTAGGACTTGGATAAGGAAAATACAACATAAGGGTGGCATAATCTTGCAGAACCAGAAAGTGAGGATGTGCTCAAAATTACCCAGGAGCCGGCCTAAAAGACTTCCTAGTGGCCAAAGCTGGAATGATTTGAGCAACAGAATAAATACCCATGATTAAATAAATGGGGGGAGGGCATAGAGGGATAAATCTTTACAGAAGAATCCCAAATAATGTATGTAGATACTTCCCGCTTAATTTCCATCCCCTTAAGGGTGGGCTGGGCTCAGTGACTCCCTCCCAAAGAATCTAGAAAAATAGTAACGTGACAGTGGAGAAAGCTGACAGATACCAACCACCTTAGCCAAGTGATCAAGGTTAACTTCACCAGTGATGTCATGTTGCTATCATGTTCCTCAGTGTGATTCTATGGAAAGGGCACTTCACCTCTGTGGTGTTCTTCTCCAAACCCATAACTGCAATCTAATTATGAGGAAACCTGAGGGACAATTTACCAAATACCTGACCATGAATCTTCAAAAGTGTCAAGGTCATGGGAAACAAAGAAAACCTAAGAAATTATCATAGACCAAAGGACACATGACAACTAAATGCAACATGGCATCCTAGATTGCATTCTGGAAGAGAAAATAAAGGACATTAATGAAAAGTTGCAAAATCCAAGTAAAGACTGTAGTTTAGTTAATAGGATAGTAACAATGTTAATTTCTTAATTTTCGCAAATGTATTGTGGTTATGTTATGAACGATGTTAGGGGAAGGTGAGTGAGGTATACATAGGAACTCTCCGTAACATCTTTGCAAGTTTTCTGTAACTTGAAAACTACTCCAAAATTAGAAGTTTATTTTCTAAAATGTTCTTCTAATCTCCAACTCCCAGCCCTTTTACACTCTCAGTGTGGGTGAGGGGTTTAAGAATAACCAGTTTTCGAGGGCACGTCCTGCACGGAGCACTGGGTGTTATGCGCAAACAATGAATCATGGAGCACTACATCAAAAACTAATGATGTAATGTATGGTGATTAACATAACATAATAAAAAAAGAATATTAAATTGCTATTCACTACAGTAAAAAAAAAGAATAACCAGTTTTCTAACCCTTTTTTTTTTTTTTGGCAAGCCCAGTACGATGGGGTCTAACGTCTCATTTTGGAGTATAATTTCTATTTTTTTTTTAAAGATTTTTATTTATTTATTGAGAGACAGAGCTTTATGACTAAATGCTGTGAACTAAAGACAAA